ATACAGAAATGAAAAGACTCGGGCCTCAAGGAGCTTGGAGTGTGGTTCATTGAAAGAAATGTTAGTTTCCAGAAGCACAAGTCAGACCCAAGAGGGCTATGGCAGCATAACAAGACAGCAAAATGGAGCTGGTCAGAGGCATCTGTGCACGAGGACTCGGAGAGCGGACCTGAGGTACCTCGAACCTTCCCTGACTCCAGATGGCCACGCTGCGGAAAGGAGGGGACTTAAATTGACGCGTATTCAGGTATGAACGAAAATACATAGAACAATCAGGATGCTTTGGCTGCAAAGATCTGAAGGCTTTAGTAGAGGTTGACATTGGTCAGATTGGGGTAGATCCTGTCTTAATTTAGGCTCGAGTTGGCTTTAACAGTCAGGAGTTTATTACTTCACATCACAAGGAGGACAGTGGTTTGGGGTTTGGTTTATTCAGCGGTTCGATGAAATCATCATTGACCGTTGTTTCATTCTTTCCATTTTCTTTCCTGGCATTCTCGCCTACACAGAGCCCGATGCAGAGAGAGAAGAGGCAGCCAGAGGGAAGGGAGGGAGAGAACCTTCTTGTGTCTTTTTTTTTTTTTTTAAGGTCAATGAAAATCATTCTTAGAAGCCCCTGGGGCAGATTTCTCTCTGAATCTCATTGGCCTAAACCAGTCACTGGCTGCTAGTGTGGGATTGTCATGACCGGTGTAGACCAATCAGAGCCTAACCCTGAGTCTCATAGGGGAGGGGTGGATACCTGAATAAGATCAGTAAGGAAGAAACGGGAGAGGAACAAGGAAGCTTCTAGAATAAGGAAACTAACAGTGTTTGCTGCAACAACTTNACTTTCTAGTTTATGGAGAAAGGCATGTCTGTTGCCTTGATTTGGGATCCCAGGGTGACCCAGGGGCCCAGAGCCTGGAAGGACAGGAGAAGGCGCCTTTCCCAGGACCTTCTGCTTGGGCTAAGGGCCTTCCACATTGTACCAGCGCACATGTATGTGAACCAACCCAAGGGCGAGACGTTGGTTTACTCCCACCTTGTTCCAGAAAACATTTCAAGTGGTTAATTGCCAGGCTCATGGAAATGAGGAAGGGGATATTAGTCAGTGAAGCCAGAGGTTGGAAAAACCCAGGCTGGGGCTTGATGGTGGAGGAGCAGTGGGTGTTGAACTGCCTCAGGGTCTGACTTCTCCACTGAGTCCCCTTCCCCTGGTGGGCTCGACTTTGGACCTGCAGGGAAGTGCTCAAGACCTACAACGTGGCCATGGACTACCCGACCCTGTTGCTGACCGTCTGGAACTTTGGGGCAGTGGGCATGGTGTGCATCCACTGGAAGGGCCCCCTGGTGCTGCAGCAGGCCTACCTCATCATGATCAGTGCGCTCATGGCCTTGGTGTTCATCAAGTACCTCCCGGAATGGTCCGCGTGGGTCATCCTGGGCGCCATCTCTGTGTACGGTAGGTGGGTGCTGGAGGGCCCCCAGCCTGCGGCGGACAGTGGGGGCAGCAGCAACCAGGCCCAAGTCCTTCCTGCTGCACATGTGTGGCAGGTGCTGACCAGGTCGCCTCCCTCCCTGGGGGCCTGGATGGTCTCCCTTCTGAGAGGTTCATCTTCGTAAAACACGTGGGGTCCTGTTGACTCATGACTGTTAACATGGTTACTGAGAATAGCAAACGTTTATCGAGCTCTCACACGGTGAAGCACTTGACACACTGTCAGTTATTGGGCACGATACCTATACATAAGGAGCATCCAAAGTGTTCGCTGCTCTTTACTCAGCATTAGCCCGATTACCATCACCAGTACCAGTGCTTCCATTTTAGGGGAAAGGAATTTGAGGCCCGGAGAAGTGGTCCATCAAGCCCATCCTCTTCCTTGTCTGCAGTGAGACCCCGCTCTGGGCGCCAGCCAGTGCAGGCTCTAGGGACTGTGACTGGAAACCCATTGGTTAGCTGCTAGGATGGCAGGACACGCCCTGAGAGCCTCACCCTGGGGCTCTGATACGTTTGTCCCCTTGCAACCCATTGTTAGAGGGCTGGCTCCTCTCTCTGGGGGCTGCTTGGGCATAAATGTCTTTTTTAACCTGTCTTTGTTTTCCCAGATCTCGTGGCTGTGCTGTGCCCCAAAGGGCCGCTGAGGATGCTGGTGGAGACTGCCCAGGAGAGAAACGAGCCCATATTTCCTGCCCTGATATACTCATGTGAGTGGCCCCCATGCCTCCTCCCGACCCGGGGTCCGAAGGCAGCTGCGGTGGGAGCCAGGGGCGGCTTTCTGGCTGTGGCTTTCAGAGTTACTAGGAAACAGTTAACCTTTCTCCCACCAAAGGGAGGAGGCAGCCAGGAGGGGCACCGCCTTCTAGAGTTGACCGTGGGCTGTATCTTGCTGTTACCAAGGAAGAAGCTTAGCAAGTTAGAACAGGAAGCGGGCCCCACAGCTTGGCGTGTGGTGGGCACAGACCGTATTCC